CTATGGACATAGGAGTTAATTTGAATGTTTAAATTTTTTCTCACTAAGGACTTAGGAGTAGAGACACTTGAGAACGGTAATCTGTGAAGATAAAGCATGTTGATATAAGGTAAAGTTAGGATTATTAACGAACTCATGATCAAACCATGATTCCTAGCACACTTTCCTCATATTATTTTATACTTCTTTTAATTTTTCTATTATTTAATCTTGTTCGATCAAAACCAATTCAAAACCTCAATTGCTTTTGTTTAACTAAAGTAAAACTCAAACCTTATATCACCATGTAGTCCTTGAGATCGATACTTTGGGATTTCCCATTATTAGTATTTCATAAAATTAGTACACTTGCTAATTTATTAATCAAGTTTTTGGAGTCGTTGTCGGGGGTTGCAAAAGATTATAGTGTTCATAGTTTTATTTTAGTTAAAATTTTGTTGCTCTGCAACTAAAATTTTGATTTTAATTTTTTTATTTGAATTTTATTTTACTAAAAAAAATTTGGATTATTTTTGCTTCATGAATTCTTCTATATATATTTTTCTACTAATAAAGTATTTAAGTTTTGTAGTCATGTATTGTTTTGATAGTTTGCCACCTGTATCTCCTGCATGTTGGTCTTCTAATTCGGGAATCACTTTGGAAGAGGTAACAAAAATTTTAAAGCATATAAGAGGGAGGTAAGTATTCTTATGGGTGAATGTAAGGAAGCTAAATTTTATCCAGATAGATTTATTTGGAGAGAGTTAAAGTTGGAAGAAGAATATCTGAAAGAAGAAGAAAAATGCAAAACATCAGATGAAAAAAGATGCAGTAAGTATAGAAGAATTTGAGGTAAACAAAAAATATGGGGAAGGAGAAAGAAAGAAACTTGAACAAGGTGTAGTTATGGGTGAAACGCAAAATTTAACAATTTGTGAAGATGTGGATATCCAACAAGAAAATCTTCAACAAAAGAGTATCCCTATAAACTATTTTAACAACAAAGTCAATGAATGATAAGAAATTGACAAAGTATTGGATGTCATTTATACCTTGTTCACTAAAATCAAACTGAAAATGATTTGGAAGAAATATTATAAATACCTCAAGTTCTGAGATTGCTACCAAACAAAAGAAGGAAAAAATATTATGTGCTATTTGTGTCATATATGCCACCCTAACATGGGGAATGAGACGTCAAACTAATGGCAGTAAACGAGTGTTGCTTGGGAGGCAACTAAAGAGAGGTATTCATAATTTTTTATAGTATTTAATTTTATATTAATTTTTTAGTTTTGTTTGCTTTCAGTTGGTTTATTTTATGGTTGTTTGCTTTCATCTAGTAATATGATAATTATAGCTTTAGTGGTTGTGTGTAAAGTATGCAAATTGAATGCATGTGTGTCTTATGTGCATGCTAAATCACCAAATTATTTTTTATATACTTCTGAATGATCTGATTGGTTTAATTGAGCTATACTAAAGGTTGAGCAGGTTTAACGTAACTACTTGAGAAGCCCCATCCAACAAGAGGTACTATGTAGGTTGTCATCTCTACCTAACATGGTGAGGATAGAAAAAGAAAACACATTGGTTCATCATGAGAGAGCATTCCTATATGTATCTATTATTCAAAACTTACGTACGTTTTTTCTCATGTCATTTACATTATTACACCCACTAAGGCACGTTGTTTGTTTTAGCCCTGAGCCTTTTAGCCATTCATTTTTAATTTTTTTATCCCTTGCATAATCCCTTTGAGCATGTTTCCCTTTTTTAATCCTATGGGTAACCCTTAGCCTAATCATTTCCCTACCCTACTTAGAGTAGAAGCACTATGTCTCAAAGATGTGTCAAATTTAAGTTTGAGGTTGTTGTTGGAATAACAAATAATAAGTTTGGGGTATCAATTAGAAATTAAGAGAATCAAATAAATATGAGTAAAAATTTGAAAAGAAAAAGAAGTGAGTTGGAAATCAACAAACTTGGAAGAAGAGAAAAAAAAAGAGAAAAAAAGTACTCAAAGAAATGTGAAAATCAAAAGCGAGAGAGAACTCAGTTCAAATAAATATCCCCCATTAGTTTTTGATTGGACATTGTCAATGAGAATAATACTCCTTACTCCAAGTCTTAACCAACTCTCCAAATATATCATACTCGAGCCTCAGCCACATTACAGCCGGAAAGACCTCAAAAAGTATGTCTATCGTACATTTTGTCGTCTAGTTAGAATTTATTTAAGCATATGGTATAATGTTGCCTACTGTGAATTTTGACTAAAAACACATAAACACCTGAGAGATTTGGTGAGAGTATGTAATAAGGTGACATATGAAGCAATATCATCAAGTGCAAATGTGTAAGATCAATCGACCATGGTTAACATGCAAAACTTAAGGGCATGATAAAAGAGGACCACAAAAGATCTCAGATGTATGATATTTTCTAAGATTTTAACATTATCTGAGTTGGCGTGAGTAAATAGTTATTAAAGTTGCTTGAGGACAAGCAACAAGCTAATTTTGGGGTTGTGATCAGTTACCATTTTTTCTATAGTTCTCATCATTTTAGCAGGTGAAAGTATGCAAGTTATTTTCAATAATGGCCTTGAACTTTTTGAATAATCCAAAGACTTCTGATTTTTCTTTTAGAAAATAGACACATGTCATTCTAGAGAAGTCGTCAATGAAGAGTATGTAGTACTTGTTGTTCTCGTGTGATGGCATCCTCATCGGTCCACAAACAACAATATGAATTAGCTCTAACAAATCTTTTACTCTCCATGCTCTGCTTGTTGAGAACGAAAATCGGTGTTTCTTACCAAGGAGACATCCTTCACACACTTCATTGTTCTCCTTTATGCTTGGAAAATCTCTCATCATGTTCTTCTCATGTAACAACTTTAAGGCATGTGTGTTGAAGTGGCCAAATCTTCGATGCCAGAGCCATGAATTCATCAACTTGTACCTTCATGGCAATGTTAGTTGTATGTTTTAATTTAGAGGGAAGCTTCTATTGCTCTTATTCATCTTCACTTGGATTATCTCGGCCCTTTTATTTTTATTGTCTAAGATTTTGCATACTCCTCCTTCAAAGTGAAGTGTGTAGCCTCTCTCCATCATTTGTCCAATGCTTAGAAGATTTTCTTTAAGGTTGGGGACTAGTAAGATATCATGGATGATTTGTGTACCTTTATCTGTCTCCACCATGACAGTGCCTATTCCTTTTGATTCAACCACACTGTTATTTCCCAGCCGAACTTTGACTTTGACAGACTCGTCAATGCTTTTGAAAATAGTCTCATCCTTGGCCATGTGATTGCTACATCCACTATCCAAGTACCAACTTCCTCCTTTTTCTTTGACTGAGTATTTAGTGGCATAGAACATACATTATTCTTGATCATTCTCCTCTGCGAGATTAGCTTGATGCCTATTTTTGTTGCGGCAATTTTTCTCTACGTGCCCAAACTTCTTGCAATGGTTGTATTGTGGCATATTACGAAACCAACAATTTTGCTCTTCATGGCCCAGTCTTTTGCATATAATGCATGGAGGATTTTTATCTGTTTTGTTCTTAAGGAAATTCCTAGAACCTTCTCTTCTTCTTGAAGTTTCTCCATAATTTTTCTTTCCTCCATTTTCTTTGTTTTGGGAATGAAATTTGAGCTTTGACTGGAAGACATTTTCAAGTGTATCTTCTGTATGCCTATACAGTCTTTGCTCATATGCTTCAAGAGAGCCCACAAGTTCTATCGCTGATAGAGTGGACAGATCTTTGGTTTCTTCAATCGTTGTCACGATTGGGTCAAACTTTGGGGGCATAGTAATTAGAATTTTCTCAACAATTTCCTTGTCAAGAATGTCTTCCCCAAAAGCTCTCATTTGATTAACTATTTATTTAACTTTAGAATAGTAATCTTTAACTGTCTCATACTCCTTCATCTTCAATAGTTCAAAATCTCTTCTTAGAGATTGAAGTTTGACAGCACGTACCTTAACGCTTCCTTGAAACTCCTCCTGCAATGTGTTCCACGCTTCTTTGGCAGTCTTAGCTCCCATAATTCTTGGAAAAATTGCATCAGTTACCTCTTGTTGCAAGGTGGACAATGCCTTTGAATTTTTCTGTTTATTTTTCTTCAACTCTCTTTCTTGAGCTGCATTAAGAGTTGAAGTATCTGCGAAAACAATGAATCCTTCTTCTACTATGTCCCATAAATCTTGAGAAGAAAAAAATGTTTCCATTTTAATACGTCAGAAATCAAAATTTTCACCATTGAAAATAGGGACAGAAATAGTTGATGATTGAGTGGTGTTATCCATGTCTTAGACAAATATTGAAGTGGTTTAATAGTACAAGAGAAATTTTTGAAGTAGTTGGGAGGAATTTGAAATGATATGTATTAATTTAACTATGCCTAATGTATGACCGAACGTAGCTCTGATGCCACTGTTAGTAGTGTTTTAGTTGATAGTTGATAGAAGATAGTTTTAGAGAGTTGTTTAGAAAGAAGGCTATGTCATTGATTTCTTGGATCATACATTACAAGATATCAAATGCCTATTTATAGGCTCAAGTCACCAACCACTCAATGGTGGTGAATGTTTCTATATTACTTTAGATTTTTTTAGAGTTTTCATGATATGTTAGTATCATGATAGTTCTAAATTCTTCTATCTTTTACATACACTTATAGTTCTAGATTATTCTACCATACTCATACGCACTATAGTTTCTAGGATATTCTACCATTACTATACATATTATATTTAGAATATTCTAAAAATTTATAACAATTTCAACAAACTCTCTTTCCCACCACAAAACAAATAACTAAACCCTGTACACACTACTAGCAACCCAACCATTAAGTTATTAGTTTGGTTGTTAATAACATCCCTTCCCCAACTTCTCATCCCTCTGCATCTCTCTGGCCCTTTCCTTTCCTGGCTCATTCATCTACCCAAATTTATTCATATCTTTCGGTTTCATATTCACCTCCACAATTTCTCGCCACCATGAAAACATTCTCACACACCCTCAAATCTCTAAACTATTTCTCAAGATGTGATGCACGACACGTGTGTGCATTTTTAGTTGGAGACAAACCAGTTATGAGGCTGAAAAAAAGAAGCAGTTCCAGTAGAGAGAAGAAAAGCCGCAACAAAAGCCAGCTAAAAGGTTTTATATCTTCAATTTACTGCTGAGGGATGTTGAAGTTTCATTTAATTTATAAAAGACTTTTGTTATGTCCGCCCTTTATTTATCTTCACGTTTTGTTTAATAAATTATGTTCAAAATGTCTGTCTTTGATTTTGTGGGGAGACTAGCCTACTAGTTTTATAGTGCATGCAATTTGGGCATCTTTATTTTTCCCTAACTTTCTCTTTCTTTTGATATAAAATTAAAATTAGAGGATCTTTTACTCTAACTTTCTCTCATTAAAATTGCATTTTAGTGGTACACTTAATGTTTGCATTTGATGATGTTGATTCACTTGATCTAGTTACTTAAGATTCATTTGAGAATTGATTTTTGAAGAATTTTAGAGCGGATGACTTTAGAAGGTTACATCTATATTTTTAAATGAATTTGATATTTTAAAAATTTTAAAAAATAATATGATTTTATATATTCATGTATTATATATATATTTTTTTTTTAAATATCAAACACATTGAAAAATATACACGCAATCCTTTAAAATTTTCCCCTCCAAAACTCTCTAAAAACAACTTCGAAAGAAAGACTTAAAAATTAAACTAATGATATATCATGCTTTTATGTGATTCAGTGTTTGGACATACATAACTCTCTTACTATATCATGATTTAATGTTTCTCACTTCAACATACATAATTTTCATACGTCATGATTCAATGTTTCATACATAATTATCATACTCTGTCATGATTCAGTGTTTCTCACACTTTATCAACAAACATAATTCCCATGCTATTCATACTTTACATATTATAAAACACTTTATCAACAAACATAATTCCAAAACTATTAATATCTTTACTATGAGGTCATCATTTTATTCACTAATACCAATGTGTTCATTTATTTATCTTGTTTACTTTCTATTGTTTATTGACGGTCAAATATTTCGATAATGAAGCTCAAGAAACGGATCATTATGACAGTAAAGTTCTATCCATGTTTAATAGTTAATCATGTTGAATGGATAGCTCTCTTTTTGTGTGTGAGAAAATTTACTGAGAAGAGAAAAAGAGGACAGTAAAGAAAATAAAAATTTAATTTAAATAATAATATAAATTAGTATTATTAATATACAATTTTAATTGGGTTTGGATCTATCTTGAATTATATTTAAATATCAAATCAAATTAAATCTAATTTAATTTAATATTTTAATAAATTTAATTTAATATTTTAATACACTCTCATAATTCAAGTTGTCGAGCATTTTAAAAAATAGTCAATCTGACTATTTCTAATTTCTTTCTCAAATTCAGAAATTTGTCAATCTTCAATCATTTGATGAAAATATTGGTCAATTGTGCTTCACTTGAGCAATGTCTTACTTCAAGTTCACTTTGATTTACTTTTTCCCTCAAGAAGTGAAATCTTGCTTCAATATGTTTACTTCTTCCATGCAGAACTGAATTTTTCGTCAGATTTATGGCTGACTTGTTGTCGATTTGCAATACAAGAGGTTTCTTCACTTCGACTTTCATTTCTTCAAGTACATATCTGATCCAAATTGCTTGACATACAACATTGGATCCTGCTATATATTCGGCTTCACAAGATGATAATGCCACCACAGATTATTTCTTCAAACACCATGAGATTGGAGCACCAAATACTTGAAAGAAATATTCAGTTGTGCTTCTTCAATCTTCCTTATTTCCACACCAATCAGCATCTGAAAAACAAGCAACTATGGCTTCTTTGTCTTCAAAATCTCGTCGAAATAGTATTCCACAATTTATCGAACTCTTCAAATATATCAGAATTCTTCTTGCAGCCTTCAAATGTGACATTTTTGGTTCACTCATATATCTGCTTACTAATCGTACAACGAAACCTATATCAGGTCGACTGTTGCACACACACCTCAAAGATCACACAATTTTCTTAATTAAAGTTACATCGACTTTGTCTTCCTCTACATTTTTTTTTTCAATTTTACATTTGGTTCGACATGTGAAGATGCAGGATTCGAATCATCCATTCTGAATCTCTTGAGTATTTCTTTGACATACTTCCTTTGATGTAGCATCATACCTTGCTTTGACATTTGAAATTCCATACCTAAGAAATAAGACAATTTTCTCAGATCAGACATTTCAAATTCCTTCATCACCAGCTCTTTGAACTTCGACAAGTTCTCCAAACTATTTTCAATTACTAGCAAGTCATCAACATATAAGCAGATGATTGTTATATCTTGTGCTACAACCTGAACATAGATACCATAATCAGATTTACATTTGACAAATCCCAATTCGACTAAGTATGAGTCGATATTCTTGTTCCATACCCTAGGTGTCTGCTTGAGGCTATAGCGCTTTGTGCAACTTATATACTTTACTAGCTTCCTTCTGAATCATATACCTTGGAGGTTGTGTTGCATAGACCTCTTCGTCTAAAAGACCACTCAGAAAAGTTGATTTTACATCTAAATGAAATGTCGACCAGCCTTGGTTGCATGTCAATGCTTCCACTAGTCGAACAGTCTCCAATCTTGCTACTGGAGTAAATACTTCAGAGTGGTCGAGTCCTTCTCTTTGAAAAAACCCTTGAGCTACTAATCTTGCCTTATGTCTTGCTATCGAGCCACCAACATTATGTTTCAACTTGAATATCCACTTTACTTCGATAGCTTTTGTATGTGTTGACAATTTGACTAACTCCCATGTGTTGTTTCTTTCGATTGCCCGTAACTCTTCAACCATAGCTAACTTCCACGGTTTAGTCTTTAAAGCTTCACTATAGTTAATTGGCTCAACACCTGCAAGTAAAGAAAAATGAACTAATTTTCCATCTGGTGTGACTTCATCATCACCCACCACTTCATAATCATGAAGTCTTGTTGGAAGAAATCTATTTCTTTGAGGTCTTTGGCTTGTTTCAGCCACAACCTCTTCGACTTCGACTATGTCAGGAATGTCAGTAACTGCTTCTTCTTCGACTTCGATTGGATTCTCAATAATTCCTTCGACCTCTACTTCATCAGTTTCTTCATCGACATTAGAACTTATCAATGGCTTGTTAATTGAATTGCTAAAATTCCAATCTCAGGAAAAAATTCCGTTAATCACAATATCTCGACTCAACACAATCTTCTCATTAATTGGATCGAATAGTCTGTATGCACCACTTTTATGATATCCTATCAGAGTCATAGGTCCACTCTTGTCATCAAGCTTCCTTCTTCTTGCATCAAGAATATGCTTGTAACACATAGAGCAAAACACCTTTAAATGACTCACTGATGGTCGTTTGCCACTTCATACTTCTTCAGGAAATTTGTTTTTCAATATCTTGATAGGACACATATTCAAAATATAAACTACAATGAAACAACTTCTCCCCATAAATACTTTGGCAAATTCTTTTGCTTCAGTATGCATCTCGACATATCTAATATGGTTTTGTTTCTTCTTTCAGCAATTCCATTATGTTGAGGTGTATAAGGAGCAGTTATCTCATGATCAACGCCATTTTCTGCACATAAATCTTCAAATGTGTTAGATGTGTATTCGCCACCTCCATTTGTTTGTAGAACTTTGATCTTCTTCTCACTCTGGTTTTCGACAAGTATCTTGAATCTCTTAAGATTTCAAATACTTTGTCCTTTCGTTTGATCACATAGATCAATAGCTTTTGACTAAACTCATCGACAAATGAAACATAAAAAATTGTTTCTACCAATTGTATGTTATTCAAATGGACCACATACATCTGAATGTACCACTTCGAGTATGTAAGATGATCTCATTGGCATTGTCAAAACGAAAGAATTTCTGGATTGCTTTCCCACTAAATAACCTTCACCAAGTTTTTTAGGCATCTGAAGACTTGGAATTCTAGTAACCATATCTTGAGTAATCAGTTGATTGAATGATCGAAAATTCAAATGTCCAAACCTCAAATGCCACAACAAACTATCCTTGTGGTCAACAATAGTTTTCAAACATTGAACTTCAGTCAAACTGATCATAGTCTTAAATATCCCGTTCTTCGACAACAAAGATTTTAAGACCAAATTGTTCTTGGTGTCAAACAATTTCAAAACTCCATCTTTCATGACAACTGAGAAACCTTTTTCGACTAGTTGTCCAACACTTAGCAAGTTGCACTTTATTCCAGGTACATAAAACACATCTTTGATCATAGATTTCCCTCCATTATTCATTTGAAAGACTATATTTCCAGTACCTTCTGCTTGCAACGAACTATTATCAGCAAGTTTTACCTTGCTCTTCTTCGACTCGTCAAAATCTTTCAACCACTCCTTTCGACCAATCATGTGGTTCGAGCAACCTGAGTCGAGAAACCAGATTTTGGATTTGACATGGTTATCTATAAATGCAGCCATAACCACCATACCACCTTTAAAATCATCTGAATCTTGGCGTGCAAGGTTCGCTCGTTCGTCCTTGCTTGTCAATCCCTTGTCTTTTCTGTACCAACAATTCTTGGCTACGTGACCTCACTTTTCACAGTTATAGCATTGCACACCTTTTTTATCTTCTTTTCCCTTTCGATACTTTCCTCCTCCTCCTTTCGAGGATTTAGAACTTGCCTTTGAATTTGTTGAAACCATCATCCTTTTTCCATGACTGGGCTTGCAGAGCCTGTATCGAGTCTTTCACTCTTTTCCTTTCGACAATCCTCATCTCATGCACCTCCAACGAACCAACCAAATCTTCCACTTTAGTGGTTTCAAGATTGTTAGATTCTTGAATAGCTACGATAATGTGATAAAAGTGAGAGGTCAACGTTCTCATTACCTTCTCAACTATAATCTTATCAATTATGGTTTCACCACAACCCTTCATGAGATGGACGAGTTTTTGAACTTTTTCTGGACTAGGCCTGCCCGTGGCCCAATTACCAGTGAGGCCTAATCCAAGCTTCACAACGTATCACGTTGAGCATTAGATCCTCCGAGCACACCCCGATCATGGGTGATTGGTCGAATGCGACTACGCCACCCCGGTGCCCGCGA